CCATTACAAAGATAGCTTCCCCAATTATCACCTCCAATACTATTAGCTCACAGACATCTCCCCTTCCCCACCTCTAATATCATTAACTCACTAGCATTCACCTTCCTTCCCCCCCACACACATGCCCCTTCTGTTCTGTAATGTGATTTGTCCTTTTCATGTGTGTTCATTTTTTTAAAATTGTATCCTTTGGTATATATGGTTGTGACTATTTTCTTCCATTATTTGATCTGAGGAAGTGGGTCTGGCCCTCGAAAGCTCATCATCTAATAAACCATCTTGTTAGTCTTTAAAGTGCTACATAGTCCTGTATTTTGTTTCAACTAAGGAAATAAGACACTAAGGCTTTCTGCCTCCAAATTGAAATGCTGCAGGCAATTGCTGTGCTTTAGCTATACCTTGTATATGAATAATGAAGAAGTAAGTGCACAAATTTAAAACATAACCAGAGTGATATCTGGTATCATCAAGATGTTAAGAGGAAGAAAACTCAAGCTTGTGGAACAAGTGAGTCAGTTGAGCAGAGGAAGATCGACAAAGCAAGTTTTCAGAGTCTGGTGTTGGAGCAGGAGGCACGTTTGATTAGAGGATGAGGCTGACTGGACAGCATGAGGTATTCTGCACATCTCAAAGCTGCGTGAAGACTGCAGAATGTGGAGAAAGGCTGCTGGCCAATGATTCCCAGGTAGTGTGGTACATCATAATGAACAGTGACTTGATGGTGCTTTGTACTATGAGAACATAATAAATAAATAAATAATGACAGTCTGAGGAAAAAATGGCTTTCTATATTTGTTATCTAGAGAAGACGTGTAATTCCATGGCTAAGGGCACAGCAGTCTGGACATTATGTTTTTTCAGGCTCTGCCCAATGGATCAAGGTATGATCTGGGGTGATCCACTCACATCTTTCCAGGCTTCACTCTTCCCATCTGTAAAATGGTGATAATGATACTTGCCCATTTCTGTAAAGACTGAGGTATACCAATTAAAAAGCTCCATGTATGTATCAAGTATTAGTACTACTAGTAGTACTTAGGATTAAACTATAGTATTCCCTTGAAACATAAATTCACAGACCTGCAATACTTACTCAGCTCTGTATTCCCAATAGCAGCATACTATGCAGTTTATTGTGAAAAGGGAAATGGGCTGTTTTTCAAATGGCACTTAAAAATTGAGATCCTCTCTGCTGTGTCTAGCTGTTGAAGATCCCATGGCATTTCTTTTAAAAGTAAGGTTTTGGCCTTATGTCCTTGGCCACTGGTTCCCTGCTGCCCTCCATCTTAGATCCTATCTACTTTAGAGTGGATTTTTTATCTAAAATTTTTCCAACACTGCTACAACCAATGCAATTTCACCAGCACTAGTAACATTGACAGTGTGCCAAAATAGACTGGCCATCAGCATTATAATCACAATGTCATCAAACTCTGCTCAGAACAGACTGGTTACAAAAATGGGTCCTCTGATAGACAGTCTGCTAACACTCCTATTGTCAGTAGCACTTGGGGGGAAATTTTAAGAAAACAATTTGAATGTAGACAAGGCTATAAAGTCTGAATTCCAGTGATGCTCTGCACTTCCAGCAAATAGGTCTGAAGCCTTGTCTCTTACAATGCTTAAGTCTGCATGTGCATCTTCAGAGACAATATTGGGCTCAGAGTCTGGAACATGGTCCTGGTCTTAAATGATATATATAAAAGCCAGTATTGTACTGTGAAAAAATCTGTTTTGGGCCATAGAGAAAGTTATCATGCAATATATGATATGAGACAAATTCAGAAGTGACCATTACTGCATTACAACTAACATAGGTTTGCAGTCTGGCCTGGCACCTGAGGTACTGGGTTAGAGCTGTAGCCTGTATCAGGGATGTGCTGTGTCTGATTAGTCTTGATGGAGAATGTATCTGATTATTTATTTTACCACAGCATTACAGCTTTCTCCTTCTGAAAAGGAAAGTGCATTTGCTCCCTGGGGTGTTTCATGGCTTCACCCCATTATGCACGGATATTATGGGATTCAAGGAGTACAGAAACAAGAAGAAATGTTTATGTAATGCTTTCTACCCTCCAGGAAGAATATCTGTTGTGACTTATCTGACAATTGATCTTTTCTATAGAGTCTTCTTTCTATTATGCAGGGAAGAATCTTCCCCTCCCTAACCTCAGAGAAGAGCATCTTCTCTAATGTGTAAAATTCCATAAAAAGCATATTTGTTATTGGTATTCTAGAGAGGCATATTTCATCTAGGTTGTTTAAAAAGACAAACCTTCCTCTCCATACGTAAAGTGATTGTTGATTAGCCCAAGAGTTTTGCAAAAATGTCAGACGTGGCACTGTGCTAATTATGGTAAAGGATACTTTTTATAGTACTGTAATTGGCATCGGTTCGAGCCAAGGAGCTATGCACTTAACTATAATTCTATCAAAGGGAAGGGGATAACTTTTTTTATAAGACTGCTTGAAGTGCTAATTGCTCAGCATGAGCAAGCTGTAAGTCTCACACGGGTATGGGAGTGGCTATTATTAGAGCTATACATTTTTCGTCTCTGACCTGGACACCTACAAACAATCCAAGTCCCAAACAGTGAGGTTTAAATATGGGCAGGGTTTCACTCTGGCACGTCTTCCTTAGTCTAGAGCCGATGAAGTAATGTTGGAAGTGATGCCTTTGAGGCTGGGATTGGGTTAATGTGTACACGGTAGGGGGAGTTGCATGGCTGGATCACATTAGCATTCCCGCCCTATCAATGTGCCATGTTGCTCACCACGTCAGTCTGCCAGATTCCCTACGTCTAACCAGTCCCACCACACCACAGGTTTCAGCGGGGATCCTCCGCGAGGCGAGCCCTCGGAGACCGGATCGAGGCGAGCGGGTCGCGGCCAGGGAGACGCAGGCGCAGGTCCACACGCACACACGCGGCCCGTCTCTCCCGCAGGGGCTGGGGATGAGGGAGCTGGCGCTGCTCTGGGCAGACACCAAGAGAGACGGCCCGGGCAGCCGCGCAGCTTTTGAAGGCTGAATTCCCTCCTGCATGGCAGCGCCCAGCTGCCAGCCCCGGCTGCATCTGCCCGAGCCGCAAATCGATGCTGAGGGGAGGAGGGCTCAGCGCGCCAGCACAGGGCTCTCTCTGCAGGGGCTGACATGCTGCTGAGCCTGAGAAGTTGACAAGCCCGCTCCCCTTCCTGGCTGGAGTGGCGAGGATGCTGCCGGGCCCCGCGGCCGCCAGCCCAGCCCGCCTGCACGCTGAAGGTGACCAGCCGCAGCAGCAGCGTTTCAGGCTGTGACTGGAGGGGCGAGGGGAGAGAAAAGTGACTCTGGAGCCTTCTTCGGACTCATCATCGCCGCGCGGCCGCCGCTGGGGGTGGTGGAAAATTTTGCCCGCTCCTGCTGGGATCTGTGTGGCTGGTTTGGCTTGGTGGATGCGTATGCATGAGTTCTGCACCGAATGGGCGCAAGAAGCGCCCCAGGACCGCTGGCTCCATCTTCCAGATCAGCAAGCCCCCCCTGCCCGGCGGCGGCGGGGGGCGCAGGGGCAGAACCCAGCGCGCCCTGGAGGACTGCAAGATGGTGGGTAAAACAAAGCCCCCCCCTCCCCCCGTGTAGTTTGCTGCCCTGCCACTCCCCCTTCAGGTTGTCTATTCCGATCACGTGCAGCTGCACTATTTTTAAAACTGCAGTCCCCGGTTAAGTTGACACCCTTTCGCCCCAGTCGGAATGGCGAAAGACAGGCCATGTGCCGCGAGAGGGGGCAAAGCTCCTGATGGGCCCAGCTGATATTGGAACCTCCCCCCCCCCTCCAACTCTTCAAATTGTATTAGCAAAAGTAGAAGACAAGGGTAGCAGGGCTTAGTGCGCCAAAATAATCCAGAGCCACTGCAACAGTGCTGCAAAAACTCGGCTCCCGCACTGTCTCCCCAAAAGATCCAGCCAAATTTTGGTCATAACCCTCCAAATTCTATTGCCTAAACAGTCCACAAATGTAGTTCCTCCGGCTTCACTAATAAAATCTGTATCCTGATTTATCTCAGCCCAGGAGTGCTGCAAAAAGTAGCACCTGACACCTAGATTTGCTGGATTTTGCCAATTTGTTCCCAACCTTTTAAATTCCACGAATTAAATATATAACAAGTATAGATGCTTTCAGTATTCCAGAAATATCTGACTCTGACATACCTGGGAAATCCAAAATACTTAAGCGCCAAGCCCTTACTTAATCCATCTATTTTCCCCCCTCCCAATACAACAGCTCAACATTTCTTCATTAAGGTAGTTGCTCTGGGTATGCCTTGATATTTGAACCTCAACATGTTCCAGCAAAACAACATTACAAAATCCTGTACCTGGCGCTTGAATCTAGCTGGACTTAAGTAATGCTGAGCCCCAACTTTGCAAATTATGGAAACTAACTAGAAAACAAGTGGCATTGTTACTATGCTTCGATAAAAATCTGACCCCTGAATCTCAACTTTGTAGCTCTGGATCATGCACTGCGCACCTAGATTCTGACAGATCCTGCCAGTTTTTGGTTCTAATGCTCCAGATTGTACTATATAAATAGAGGGGGAAATGGAGCAGCTTCTAGTGCACCTAAAAATTCTAGCCCCTGTTGCAAGTTGTCACAGCAGCACTGTAAATTTATAGATCTAGCAACATTTTCTCATTCTAAGCCCCCTGATTTGAACAGTTTAACAGAGAAGAAATTTAATTGGAGCAGCAGTACTTCATTATGTAGCTCATAGAATGTTTAGATTTTAAATATTTAATAATAAAAAAAAGCTTGGGAACAAAAATTGCCAAGACCCAGCAGGATCTCAATGCTGAATCTAGCTTTTTGTATTGTTGCTCTGCCCAGAGGTAAAAGAATTCAGACTTTTTGGGGGCATAGTAGCAACATACGAGGATGAAGTAGGGTCTGCATTGTTTTGATGCACTAGAAACAGCTAAACCAATTCTGTTATTTATTGCTAGGGAATTTGGGGAAGAAGGGCCAAAACTGGCAGGATCCAGGTACTGGAGTTGAGTGTTTGCAGCACCCTGGCACTGAGATGCATCAGGGCAGGGTCCAGATTTCTTGGTGCAATCTGAAGAGCCACCTTTGCTCTCTATTTAGGCATTAAAATTTGAGTTAGCTGGATCTGGTGCAGTCCAGGTAGATCCAGATTTTTATCTCCTCCTTCCCCACTACAAGTGGCCTTTTCTGATGCATTTCTTTCTTGCAGATCATGATTGCATTCCAAGTCAACATACATTTTTTCTTTAAAATAAAATCTACAATAATTGTAGATTAATGGAACAAAATAATAACCTTTCCAATGCTATGAAAATAAGGATTTATCCAATAGTGTCCAAATGTGTCTGCTAGTGTGATGCTGGCTTGGAATATTTCTGTGGCAAGGCTGAGAGGTTTATCAATTTCTTTGTCTATTTATTTCACACTGGTCAAAGTGCTTTCTGGAATACTAAGTGGAAAGTGCTTTTGTAGTACATCTTATCTGCCAACAACTTAAGATCAATTTCAAGGCTGAAACCTGGGTTAGAAGGCAGTGACAGGAAGGAAATCATTACAAAATAAATTAGCAAAGGCTCCAGTGTGTAAATGAGTGATACTTTCCACTCCCTAAATGTGTTGCTAATCAGAAACCAAAGGGAGTGAAGAGAATCATCTCTGGAGACATTTTGTCTTTCATTATGATAAAAAAAAATCTCTTGTTATTAGAGGAAGAGAAGCTATTATTTATGTCTGTGTAATATTTAAGATACACATTTAGGGGGTTAGTTGGAATATATTACTTTTCTGCAGGGGAACATTTATGGTACACATAATGCAGCTCACATAAAGGCCCCACACATTTACTAATGTTAAGGGCTTGATCCTGTTCCCTGTGAAATAAATCAAAGATCTTGGGGTAGGAATGGTTTGGTTTTTTTTATAAATGCCCCATTATTTTATCAAGGTAGTTAAATGTTTTCATGTAAGTAAACAATCTGTTTTGCAGCTTGTTCAGGAGTTCAACACTCTGGTGGCTCTGTACCGAGAGTTAGTAATTTCCATTGGAGACGTCTCTGTCAGTTGTCCATCTCTACACGCTGAAATGCACAAGACTAGAACCAAAGGATGTGAGATGGCCTATCAGGCTCATCAAAAACTAGCAGCAATCTCTGGGTAAGAGTCTTCTTGTATTTCACTCGTTCAAGCAAATGCCTTCATAGTATTAAAGATTCTGGTTGTTAAATGTTATTTCAAGGGACCTTTGGGGAAAGGCACCGAACTCTTATAGTACCAGTCCATACAGACATCAATTTAGGATTTAAACTAAGAAATATTTAATCTTGGATTTTATTGAATGTACAAATCCTTATCACAGCATCATTTTGGGCCAAATCTTGCTGCTGATAGGAATTCAGCACTGATGATAATATCCTATTTGTTTCATTTTCTGTAAAGTGAGAAGGCCTTTAATGGTGTCACAACCCAAAGCAATTAAAAGAATATATTCTGTGGATAAGCTTCAAGGGTGAGATTCTGTAGGCCTGATCCTGCTGCCCTAATAAAATGTGTCATCATGACTAAGGATTGCTTGAAAGAATATGGTTTTATAAATAGCTAAATAGCCTGTATATAGAGAGAAAAATCACCCATTTGAACATAAGCCACTCAGAAGTATTAAAATTGCATACCACTCAGAGCTCACATAGGGGGAATTTCTACATTTCTGATATTAAGGCTAAGGTAACAGATAGAGTAAGGGCCTAATTTTCAAGAGACCAACATATGGTGCAGTTTACATTTGTAAAATTTACACCTGCAATTGAAGTTGGTGTGTAAGTATTTAGAGGTGCCAATACATTGCTTTACACCTGCAATGGTTCTGTATGTACAAAATAGGGAGATTAAGAGTATGTCTACACTACAGAGGTTTATTGGGAAAATGGCCCTTTAAAAAAAAAAAAACTTCAATTACATCCACACTGCAATCGCATTCATTTCAAAAGAAAATCGGAAGAACAGAGCGATTTTGTCAGCATTGGTAATCCTCTTTCTACGAGAAGAAGCCTTTTTGCGAAAGAGCTCTTTCGGAAAAAGGTGTGTGTTCACAGAGAAGAGGGAGTTCTTTCAGAAGAAGAGGAAAGAGGAAAAAGCACAAGTGCCTTGGTGGACAGTCCGTCCATAGTAATCACAGTTTAAATGTGAGATAGCATCCATTCAGTGTGGATGCTATCATTTGAAAAAGCAGATGGCTTTTTCGATGTGCTTTCGCAGTGTGGATGCGCTCTTTCAGAACAAGTTTTTTCGGAAGATCTCTTCTGGAAAAGCTTCCAAAAGAAGCCTGCAGTCTAGACGTAGCCTAAGCTTTTACCCATATGGCTATTTACTCCTAGATGAGCAATTCCAAAGGTTTATCCTAGGAAAGATCACATTGTAAAGGAGATGTTGGCTTGTGGACCATCTCCTGTCTTATTTATTACTGTGTGACATTGCTGTAGGAACTACAGCTGTTGCTTACATGGGAAAGACAAAGAAGGGATTATTTGTGTATTTTTAGTTCCCTTTAGTTACTGAGTATTTTGTCCTTTTTGAAAAAAAGTTAATCACATCTCTTCATTTCATCTTCCCTTCACATTCATTCTGTTTCTCTCCACTGAAAACAAGGATAAGAAAAGCAAGCTATATATGGACCACCAGCAAGTGCTACTCAGATCATAATTTTAGGAACTATTGCCTTAGATTTTTAAGTTTGGATCCTGGAAATTGCCTAATACCTCCTAGGCACCACCTGGTTGTCCACTAATTTCAATGGGACTTGAACTAACTCAGCACCTTGCAGGATCAAGCCGTTGAAGTGGGAGATTCTTTAAAATACATACAACTTACGCATAAATCATTTCCATAATTTACATCTGTATTCATCTATCACATTTGCTTGTATTAAATCATCTTTTTTTTTTGTCTACTAACTCTTGAATGAGGGCTACAGCCTCCCAAACCAGCTTTCCCTATTTGAGTCTGCAATAGAGCTATATTACTAATTATGATAGCCTTATCATGGCAATAGTATGTGTCATTACAAACTCAGGATTATGGCTCATTGCAGGATAAACAAAGAGAAAAAGTTGATATGTTCAGTAAAGGTAAAATCCTTTAATCCTTTAGGGTAAAACCCTAAAATCCACCTTCATGGAGCCTGAGTATTTGGGTTCTAGGCAGGTGAAGTGCTCAGGTATTGAGAGGTGAAATACACTTGCTTGCTGCACAGAATCCCTGCTTCTGCTGTTTTACACTATAAACTGCAGTAGCTGCCCCCAGTCCTTCACTGCTAGCCGTGCAGAGTGTTAGAGACACTACAACAACATCAATGTATATCTCCCTTAGCTCATTATAGCCTTCTGTGACAGCCTGTGAAATCCAACGTAGATGATACAGAGAGATTGCTGTGTGGCTGTTCTGCCCATCATATTTCCCTGAGCCATCCCCTTTGGGGCTTTAGTGAGATGAAGAGCCTTATATTGACTTTCCGCACCACTGGTGAATCTCACCCTAAAACCAAAACAGGAAAAGAAAAGACATTCATGCACAGTGCTATTGGTATAATTGCCTTCTTTTTTCAGATTTGATTTTGTACAAAATTCTCTTTTAAATAGACACTGTTCACTCCAATTTGTTCTGCCAAGCAAAAGGCAAGCTCTTACAAAACCTAGGTCTGACAGTACTAAAAATCCCTCCAAAGAAATAGCTTTTTCCAAAATGAATACTTACTGCAGTGTGTACAACCCAAATTCAGCAAGGTGGTAACTTGAAATTGAACAGTACAAACAAAGGTTAACTTTACGCCATTTTATTTTGCCCTCATGGAAAGATTAATGGAAAACATAAACAGCATGAACAGTGAAAAGAAACTGCTATTTTTAAAATTCTTTCTATTTAGATGTATTAACTAAGGTAAGGAAATGTGGGTGTTTCAAAAGGTATGATTTTAAGAGGCTCATGTCTGATGCACTCACAGACATGTCCTGCAGTTACTATGAAACTATGAAATTTACTATGAAATTATAACTCTAAGACTATATTAAAGAATTGTAAATAATGTGAGATCCATAACAACTGATAAGTATTAAAAAACTAACAGCTTACTATAAATTGTTTATTTAGTCCAGTAGGCATTTCACAATCTGTGCTTCACATGCTTAACCTCTTTCACCTCAATAATGAGAGCAACAGTGAGAGCTAAATTAACCTGTTTCATGCAGTATTCGAGGACTAGATTTAAGAGGGCCAGATAAGGGAAGGCTGAAGATGTAGATACAGGGTATGTCTACACTACATGGCTCTGTCGACGGTAAACCTCATCCCATGAGGGGCAGTTGACAAAGGCTTCTGATGTTGACCACTGAGCGTCCAGACTCCTGCGTTGTGCCGACAAACAGCTAATCTGTACAGTGAGATAGCCATTTTGATATAAATGAAGCGGTGATTATTTAAATTGCTACTTCATTTTGCTATGTCTACAACCCTCATCTACATGGCTCCGTCGACGGAGCCATGTAGTGTAGACATACCCACAGGATGGAATCAGAGTAGCAAATAAATAGAGAGGGTCACAGACGTGGAGTATCTGTCCCTAATTCTTTAAGAAGTATGCTGCATTGCACATGGGTTGGGCTCTGGACTGAGATAGGATGGGGCAGGGACCCCAATAGTGATTGAAACGCAACAGGAAGGAAAGAAGCAGGAGGAAAGTTTTGTGAGGATTAGAATGCACTGATCAGGAGGCAGCAGCACTAGGAGAAGCATGATTAGGAGGAAACATGAAAGGAAAATAGTGGTGTTTACAGCGGGAAGCCAGTAATTAGGGGGTGGGAAGAGAGTTGGGATCAGAAGAGACAATAATTTGGGAATAAAAAGTTAGAACAGGAAATAAATGGACAGGAATGAGTGAGGAACACAAAAAGAAGTTGTAGAAGGATGAAAAAGGTGTACCTGGGGAAGACAGAAGTTAGCAAAGAAAAAAGGAGGGACAGATGTCTTCTGTGGCCTTTGAAAGTAAATGAGAGAGAGAGAAAAAAAACAGCAGGAAAATGACTGGTTTTGTTCTGAGTTTGTAGCGGGGACACATCCCTGGGTGATTGTGTGAATATAGGCAATAATGAGAAAAAATAAAGTGTTTTTAAATTACAATTACAATTATTGGTAAAAGATCAATATCAAGAATATTGTCTCTGTGGCAGTTAGTGCCACTTAAAATATAGTGTATTCAAGTTAAAGAAATAAGAAACAGCTTAAAATATTAGTCATACAAATGTTAATCAAAAATGCATGTTCTGTTTATACACTGAATACCATGAGAATCTCTGGGATTACATGTATGGTTCCCAAAAATTCATCCAAAGTTACAGAGTCCTGGCATGATATACTGTCATCTGGGCAACACTCTCTGCAACACTCTCTGCTTCTCTTATGGACTACATGGGGAGGTTCATACAACAGAGATGGCAGATCAGATCATTGAGTGAGGAATGAGTAAACAAAAGCAGGGACAGCAAGTGCAGAGCCAGAGAGAAAATTTGAGAATTCCCATAGTCCATCCATAGGAAACCCTTGGCTATTACATGGAGGCACCACCCCACAAATAAAGATGTAGGAAGAGCTTCACTGTATAATCCTTGGGGACACTGCCTCAGTGTCCCCAACCTGCATGTGTTCTTTTGAGAGGGGATAATGCAGTCCTGGTTCAATATTAATTTGGTCCCTACTGGAATGTTCCATAATAAGAAAATGCTTCAGATAAAACAATTCTCTGAACACCATGAAAACTTTAAAAACTGTACAGTGAAGTACAAAAAAATTCAATCTAGTTTCTTGTGGAAAAAGCACTTTAACTTCATTATAATGGCATAAATGCAATTACATCCTAATGCAATTACATCCTGATAGTAAACTGCTTGCATAGGTTTTTCTTTTGTTGAAACATGTTTCTCTGAAGTTCCCATAAATAGATAGTGTATGAAGTAATATTGATATTGCCTCACAATAACACTATTATGACTTTTGGAGAATAACAAATATAAATAAAAATATTTGTAGTAGAAACATTCTAACTGTATATCCTCAGCTTGCAGCAGTGGAAATATAAAGAAATCCTTTATGGTGGTGCTTGTGCCTCTCCA